CCCCCCCCCCCCCCATCCCCCGCGTTGGCCGCCCCGGTATCACCGTCGGCACCTTGTGTAGGGGTAGGACAAGGAAGGCGCCGCCGCCGCTGGCCTCCACGATGATGGCGACGAAGGAGGGGTTGACGGCGCAGAAGGTGCTGTCCCAAGTGACGCGGGAGACGCGGATGTCATCGTAGCACTGCTCCGTCTTCACCGGTTGCCCGAAAACGTGTCGGAACTTGCTTTGCCGCACCACCTTCCGAAACGACATGGCTGGGGCGTACCCCGTGCCGGGGTCAGCGTCGGGGGGGGACCCCAAAATGTGGGGCAGAGCCAAGGGCTCAGCCAGGGGACAAGGGAGGTGGCCCTCCCACCCCCAGCCAGCACGTCCTGCCCCAGGCACCCCACGCAGCCCCCACGGGGACCCCCACCCAGCCACCTCCCCCTGCCCAGGGACCCTCACCCTGCTGCCGTGCCCCGCGGTCCCCACTGACCTTCCTGGGCACCGTCATGATGATGGGCTCACACTTGCGCTCGTGCAGCTTGTAGAACCTGCCGGGGGACAGAGGGGGCCATGGCGGAGGGGGGGCGAAGGAAATGGGGGTCACCCTCCTTGTCCCCGCCGTGTCCCCGTGCCCACCTGGCGATCTCGCACTTGCTGACGTCCAGCCCGCGCTTGGGCATCCAGCCCATGCCCCGCTGGGGCTCCTTGCTGGTGAAAGTGTTGAGAAAATGGATGTAGGGCGGCTCTTCCGTGATCTCAAAGTACCGGATGCTCGAGTCACCCTGGGGACATGGCGTTAGCGGGGTCCACGGGCGGGGAGGGGACACCGCAGGCAAGACGGGGGGACACCGCGGGGCCATACCTTGCCGCAGACGTAGACCACGTTGGTGTCAGGGTCGTAGAAAGGCAGCAGAGCCCCGTTGCTGGAGTCCAGCTCCTGGAGCCCCATGGGTTCCTCCAGGTTCTCCTGTGGGGCAGGGTGTCAGCCCCGTGGGGACACCCCGACGCGGTCCCGTGGGACCCCCGGGGTGCTCCTCACCAGGTCCCACAGCGCCAGCTGCCGCTCGCTCATGCGACTGAAGCCAGTGGTGAAAATCTTGCCGTCGGCCAAGAAAATGGCCCGCATGGGCCGAGCCCCTTCGTGCGCCCGCTCCTTCTCCTGGGGAGGGGACGAGGGGGGGTCAGCAGCACCGTCCCAGCACCCAAGGGAGCAGGGGACAGGGACACCCGAGGGACAAGGGAGAGCGGGGAGCACCAGGGGACAAGGGCAGGGCTTGGGGGGGGTCTCCCCACCGAGGACCAGGGCAGGACGGCTCCCTGGGGACACGGGCAGGGTGACAGGTCCCCCGGGGACTCACGGCCACCACGGTGCCGCGGCGGGGGTCGATGACGCGGACGCTCTTGTCCTTGCAGGCGGTGCAGAAGCGGGCGCCGTCCCGGCTCCAGCTGACGCTGTAGATGAGGTCGGGGTGCAGCCCCTCCAGGCGGTACAGCTCCTCCGCCGTGCCCACGTTCCAGATCAGCACCACGTTGTCACAGCCTGGGCAAGAGCGCGGCGGGGGGGTTGTCACCTCGGCCACGCGTCCCCCTGCCACCGAACGCGTCCCTCGTGACGCCCCCCGGACCCCGTACCTGCGCTGAGCAGGACGTGGCGGGCGGTGGGGTGCCAGGTGACGATGCCCACGCGTTTCGAGTCCCCCCCCAGCCCCACCACCGGCTCCGTCAGCCTGGCTCAGC